TTCTGGATGCGTTCATCTTATAATGTTTTCTTTATTACCTTTCAAACACTAAAGTATGAAATGTTATTATTTATAACCATTGTCATTTCAGGTAGTTTGCAGTTAGCTGTTGAGAACCTGTGAAATAGAATGATATTATATTATACTGAAAATCTGGTCTTTCTTTCTCTATCGAAATTTATCAAAGGAATCAAATGCATGAAATTTTATTTCTAATCAGCTACACTACCTACTATTAGCAAGTAGTATAGCACTCTTCAAAGGTATTATAAAGTATTAACAAAAACAGCAGTTTCAGCAGAATGAGATGACATTTTTTATTTCATCGTCTACTCATCAGCGTCGTACGCCTTTAAAAATTTCGATATGGCATACACATGCAGAACAGAGAGAAGGGGACATATTATATTCTTTGAACATGTATAGAAAACCCTACATCTCGAGGAGACAAGTGTTTTCAGAGGGGCTATTTCTAGGTACTTCGTTTTTTCGGGGTATTCAGGTAGACATTTAGAAATCCTTTAAGGTAATCAGGAGGTAGCAGGGTTCAACTTCTGTCAAGTTAGCTGAAGTAATTGGTACTGAAAGTTTAAAACCGTATGTGTCATCAGAAAGAAGCAGTTATCTACCATCGCCCTCTTTACATGGTTTCTCAAGTCCTTCTTCTGTTCGTGTGAACAGTCTTTTACTTTAGGCTTCTCTTTTTCGACTAGTGGATCGCGTTGCTATGAGGAGTCAATTAGGACCCTTGTTGGCGGGTGTTTAAATGTCTTGTGTTGAAAACTAGTCCCTTGATTCAATTTCTAAATTGCCCTTCTATAGGAGATATGTAGATGATGTTATTTTGATATGCCATGATCATGAAGATGCGAGTCGTCTATTAGATAGATTTAACTCTATTCAGTATCATATTTGTCTTACATGCGAGGAAGAAGGGCGCAATCAGCTTGCATTTTTAGACATACTTCTGAGTTAGAGAGACGGTGGTTCAATAAGACGATCAATTAAGAGAAAGCTTTTGAAATAATACAGAAGATTTGTAGCTCACGTGGATGATTAGCAATTAGTAGTATTCTCTGAGCTGGTCGGTTTAGTTGCGGAGCTTTCTTCGTCCTTCTGGACGACGTCTTCAGTGTAATTTTTAGTATAAAGTGATCTGATTTAAATTTCCTACGAATGATAGAATTGCGTCTCCTGATAACTACCTTTACATCGATATTGATCATTTTTTACTGACCTGGATTTTTAACTTTCTCGTTACATGATTTGCTATTATTAGTTGTTAGTTTTGGTCTATATTAACATTTTGGTAATTGCTGGCTGATTCGTTTGAGTACCAGGCTTCTAGGAATTCTCTGGCACTTTTGGGTGTTACCTCTTTTTAAAATGTTGACATTATCCCAATCAAATTAGTGTCCAAAATTACCTACATGCATTGATATGAAAGATTGTATATCTTGTCTTTTCTGATTCGAAGCGGACGCCCACTTTGGACGGTGTAATGTTTGTTACAGTTCATACAAGGGAATTCAGCTTATTTGTAGGGCTGATGTTATAAAGGATGAAAATGAAATACTGATGGATACTTGAAAATAGATGTATAATTCAATTAGTCTTAAAACCTACAATGTATACCGCCTCTAACAAAGATATCTTCATCAAAATACCGTACAATGCGGAAGTAAATAGTAACATTCGAGACAGACACTAAATTCGGTCATCCACAGACACCTTTTACGCAGGTTTGTATATAATTATTGAAAAAGTCAAAAGTATGCTCCACTAAAAACCTCCAAACTGCACAATTGATTATGTCACATCCGACACTATTTACCAATTTACGTGTATGCGTGGACACACATGCACAGGGAGGAGTAATCGTGTTTCGCCTGTGGGGGTGGAAGATTATATGCCAAAGAGGTTGGAGGATCAGATGAACTTTGGATTATCGACAGAGGCAGGTGGCAGACTACCAACTTCGTCTACAGCTAGATATCTAATGAGTATGAACTACAAGACTGATGGCAAAATGGCCTTTAAGGTTATTTTTAAAAACGGTTAAGGGCTCTTATTCAAATACGCTGAGGCGTTGTTTATTCGTAAACTTAAGCCCGTTTTACCTTAAAACTTCTTCATTTCCAGTTTAGGTGAATAGCCTTTGTGGATGTATCTGATCCTACAATCGACACCTCGATGATATGTTCAGTTTGGATAGTGTTATTAGAAGATGAAGATTATCTGAAAAGGTGTGTGATGTATATGAACCATACATTTCAAACACTCTGATCCTGCATACATTTATTTATCTATATATAAAAAAAAATTAAGGACAATTAAACTAAACAAAGTGACAAAAAAGGATTTAAGAATGATCAACACAACGTTTGGTAATCCAGTCAAATAAGGATTACCAAGATAGTTTAAGGGTAATAATAAATTGTTTTTGGACAAACAGGAGGGGGGTAATTTTATGGATCACTATAGCCACAGCGTATTTCAATGAGCGCCGTTGACAATTTTTAAAAGTAAGCTTAAAAGCCATTATGACATGAATCTTGTGGTTCATAGAGATTAGTTGTCTAGCTGTAGATGAAGCTGGCAGTGTGCCACCGACGCCTATCGATTTTCCAAAGTTCATCTGTTCCTCTAACCACTTCGGGATATGCTCTCCCAACCTTACCTGCTAAGCGCGAGCGCTCCTCCTTGTGTTTGTGTCCACACACGCACATACACGAAAATTACTAAATAGTGTGGCATATGACACAATCACTTCTGCACTTAAGAGGTTTGCGGTAGAGTACATTTTTGGCTTTTCCAATAATTACAAGCAGACTTGCATAAAAGGTGTCTGTGGATGACAGAATGTAATCTTTGTCTCAAAATTCTATTGTTTAGTTCACCATTATATGATAATTTGATGAAAACATTTTTCTCAGTGGCGGTATGGATTGTAGGTTTAAAGACTAATTAACTTCTACACCTGTTTAAAATTTTTAAAGGATGTCCGTTTTCAACAAGAGTATCCATCAATATTTCATTTTCTTTGTCTATAACATCAGACGTGGAAATACTCTGAATCCTCTTAAATAAGCAGTTCGATAAGTCTCCCTAATACTGTAATGGACAGAAGCTGTGGAGAATAAAGCATTACCCTGTCTAAGTAGTGTAAATTCATATTAACTGATACGTGATGGCTACATATAGAATTGAGGATCTGCATTTCCTCCTACTGGGACTCACAAGTTGGACATGCTTAAATTCCAGTAAATGACTTTATTCCAATTGGATCCGAACGTTCTTGGAGAAACCCACTTCTTCGATGCAGTTCAGTTAATAACGCGAAAAACACAAGTTTCGAGATATAATCATTGGTACCCGCTGCATAAAAAGCTGTTTCGATGAATCGGTATCTTTAGGGATAACACTAGTCGCATTACACGATGGTAAAAACACTATCATTCACTAAAATACACGCATCCGTAGCAGATGATTTCAAATTTAAACGAAACGCAGGTCACAAACTCCACTCTTGGCCACTACATATCAATCAATGTCTCGATTTTAAATATTTCCTCTGGTGAGTTTTAAGAGCGGTATATTTTTATTTTTAAATATAAGTCTGAAAAGATCAGAGTTCTGATTTCTGCATTTATTCATTCCAGTAGAATCTGTAACCTGAGAAACCTTGTACAAATCCAACGGCTTTAATTCAAGAATAGTTGAAGGTGATAATCTATTCGCCTATAGGAATTTACCAGCTAGAAATCATCTTCACTCAGAAGAAGCTTTTGTTTTAAAATTTTCGGATATGTATTGAACGAACACAAACTGGAAGATATGTAAGTGAAAAGGAACAAGTTGACGATAGAAGAAGCGTCAAAGACAGGACTTCAGGTGAACATAGAGAAGCGATGAAGATTCCTAGCCAACAATAACAGCAACAACAACAGACAACAATCAGCATGAATGGCAGAAATCTGAAAGAAACAACCTCCATTATCTACCTACCTACCTACCTACCTGAGAAGCATCGTTTCAACTACAGGCGGACGAAACTGACGAGGATATTAAAGCAGCGAAGATCGTAAAAGCAAGGCAAGCTTTCATTACTCTCAAGTCTGTGTGGGGAACAGCAGCACTCAGAATGAAAAATGAGATTCGGACTTTCAACTGCAATGTGAAGTCAGTGCTACTTACTATACGCATCAGAGACTTGGCGCCACGCCGCGTCACGAAGGGCACTTCGAACAAACTACAGACCTTCATTAACAGCTGTCTTCGCTCACTACCACTCAAGATCAGATGACAGACCAGAAAAGATCAGCAACAGGGAGGGATTTGTGTTAGCGAATCAACCCAGCAGGAACCAATTGTGCAACAAATATGCAGGGAAAAATTGAGGTGGATTGTAGCCATACTCTGAGAAAACGAACCATCAAGTGAGTGAAATCGCGAGGGTGACATGCAGAAGGAGGTCATGTGAAGGGGAGATGAAAGCATGTGAGCAGACGTGGAGCCAGGTGATGAAAACGTTGGCAGAGAACCGAACGCAATGGAGACGTGCGTGGATGAAGCCCTATGTTGCTCTAGGATTTCAAGGAAATAATAATTGAACAATCGATAAGTATTATGCCTACTGACAGCTTCAGTAGGATTCGTATATCCGTATACACAAAGTAATTCATCATATCACCTTCATGTATTTGTATTCACCTACTGAATACCTTAATTGTCTACCTTGAGTAATATAGTAGTAATTCAAGAAGACAGACTGATTTAAAAATGAATTTTATTCATCTTAAAACTTGCATTAGCATTAGTCATTAAATAAACCGCTTGAATTGAAACACAATCATGGTTACCATAGTGATAAAAATTTACAGTTCAACAGATATATACTTGAATAATCGCACATGACTTGTTTGTTTGCAGTTGAAGAAGACATTAAAGAAGAATTATGACAAATTGTAAATGATAAATACTATTTTTTTTATAAAAGACTAGAAACAAGAAGAAGAGTTTGTGTAGGGAGAAAACCAAAACTCATTTAGAAAAGAAACTAAGCAACAGTTTTTTTTTAAATTTCTCTACATTAATACTGGACCATGCAGATTATAGAAGATATATCTATGAGGTATACAGCAGTAAGTCTAAAGACTTGGTGGTTCAGTAACGACACTTCTCCTTTTTTTATTGATAGTTTGGTGTCTATTTTGTGTGTGTGATTAATTCTCAGTAATAAAAGATGAAATGATTCTCCTAAGATTTTTTTAAATTTCTGCTTTCACGTCAAGGTCAGTTCACTGAAGGAAACCAACAACAAAAGTTAAAGAACTAGACGAAAATTGAGTTTAAATGGTCGAGATATTGGTTCAACTAATTCACACATTTGTTTCTTATTCAACACGCTTAATTCTATAAAGCATTGACCATTTTCAGAATCTATAGCATATGAAAATGAATTCAAACAGGAGCCGATACATGAATATCGAGTTCCCGTGGAACCATTTATTGATGCAGCTAATCCTGAATGAATTTGTACTGGTCTATAGTCATTTTCATCAAATACTTGTGAGTGTTTAATTCGATTAGGCTCTAAGTAGTTGATTGTAACTCCTGGCACCTCTGGTTCTAGGTAACATCTATAAGAAAAGAAAAAAAAGTACAAAGATGAGAAATTCAAGTTGAAATAGTGATTGAATATTATTTTATTTACCTCCAATATCATTTTGAGGTCCGTCAATCAATATTTTTTTAAATGAATAAAAGTAGTTAGTTTTTCGTAATTCATAGTTACGTATAGCATTGTCACGGAGTCCCTTCTTCACTCCTGTGTAAAGTGACTAACTAGTGTCCATTCAAAATCATCCAAAACAGTAAGTCCTAGAGAAGGCCAACTGTGAGCCCTAAATGCTGCTCAGTGGTAAAGTCTGCAGGTGGCACTGTGTGACGCAGGTTCGAATCTCAGAAGGGACATCAGTTCCTTCAAGGTTGCAGATACGCCTTGCTGATGAGTGCCAACTAGCACGAAACCTAGGTCCAAGGCTTCCTGCCGATTGCCTCCAACCATCTAATGCCAACAATTCACAGTGCACCGTAATGGCGAGCCACCTAGCACGGTGGCCACATTGCAAACGTGGTTGTTAGAATTCAGTTGGCACCAAAACAGAGGAATAGACACATTACACTAGTGACTAACTAGTGTTCAATCAATTTTCCCGAAACAGTCCTACAAGAAGTCAGTTGTCAGCCCGAGTCGTTACTCAGTGGTAACGTCACTGACTGACTGACTGCAGCACTGGGTGGTGACACGGATTCGAATCTCAGAAGCGACATGATTTCCTTCGAGGCTGCAGATACATCTGGCTGATTGGTGAGTGCCGACTAGTACGAAACCTGGGTCCTTCAAGGCTGCCTCTGCCGACTGCCTCCAACCATCTAATATTAACGCTTAGTTATTCGCAGTTAAGAGTGATAATGTTATTTTTTAGATGTATACATTTACAAAATGAAGGATTTTCTTGTAGTTGTTGTCAAATGAAATCAGTAACTGGAGTGACCTGAAAGGACTGTCTTTACCGTTCTAATCCTACCATATTGCATACAAATAAGCTTTCTATAGACGCATACTATAGTATGCATCATGTCCATTAACGAAATGAGTAAGTTTTGAAAACTACATTTCACTTGTCAAAATATACATTTTATACCTCACCTCAGAGTGAAACACTTATAGCCTTTGAATGGATCTGTTGTCATCAACAATTTCCCACTTCTGATCGGACACTAGTTAGTAACTACTGTAATGTGTCTAGTGCTCTGTTTGATGCAGACTGAATTCTACCAGGCACGTTTGCAGTGTGGCCACCATGCCACTAGGTGACTCACCATCACGGTACACTTTGAATTGCGGATATTAGATGGTTGGAGGCAATCGATCACAGGAAGCCTTGGACCTAGGTTTCGTGTTAGTTGGCATTCACTAGTCAGCAAGGCATATCTGCAACCTTGAAGGAGCTCATGTCCCTTCTGAGATTCGAACCCGCGTCACCCAGTGCTGCCTGCATTCAGAGACGTTGCCACTGAGCTATTCAGGCTCGCGATTGCAAGCTTGACTGATAGAATTCAGTCTGCACCAAAGATAGGATTAAACACATTACACTAGTTACTGAGTAGTGTCCAATGAAAACTATGCAATTTATTCAGTCCTAGAGAAGGCCAATTGTGATCCCAAAACGCTGCTCAGTGGTAAAGTCTCTGACAGACTGCAGGTGGCACTGGATAACCCGAGTTAGAATCTCAGAAGGGACATTAGTTCCTTCGAGGTTGCAGATACGCCTTGCTGATCAGTGCCAACTTGCACGAAACCTAGGTCTAGTTGGGCTTCCTACCAATTGCCTCCAACCACCTAATACTAACAAATAAGGATGTAAACAGTTTTCTCATTATTCTTAACAGAAGCCATTGACAGAAGTATTCATATTAGTATCTATTTTATCAGAGTTTATAGTGTTTACGACTAATAATAATAGTTGAAAACTATTCCAACAACACTTCTGGATAGATTTTAACTTAAGTGGTAGTTTTACACACATCCAATGGTATGAAATGTGGTTGAAGAGTCCATTAGGTCATAAGTTTATCTATATATCAAATCGTTCATGGCAATACAGTATCAATAACCTGTGTGATGCTGCGAACTTAATTTTTTGGCAACTACCTCTCTGAGGTAACCATATAATCTTTCTAAATAGATTCTAATACTTACTAATTTTGTATTGAATTGTTTTCAGAAATTTTCTCTCATTATTAGTATTATTACTGATAAGATTTATCAGTAGTATATATAGAGACAATCATTGGCATAAAATCCTCACATTGTAGGGAGATAGATTTGGATTCAGAGAGAGGAAATGATTCAGCGTTGCAGGGATACATTGGATACGTGAAAAGGAACGCAAAGAAATACAATACGCTTCTTCAAGAATTGAAAACGTTTATTTCCCGATACGAATTTAAAACAAGCAATAAAGGTTAATAAAGCAGGATTTAATGAATTCATCAAATTTCGGTAGAACTCGTCAGCCGAAAACAGCTGAGTGCAAAGCGCCAAAATCCTCAATAACAAAACATCTTGTGGACTACGGACATGACATCGACGCGGTCAAGTCATTCACTATTGTCAGCAGACAAAGAAACAAGAAGATGCTTGCAATTGCAGAGGCTTGTGCAATTCGAGTTTATAAATCAGGTCTCTGTGTACAAAAGGAGATGGTCGTGACTCTGAATCTACCATGGTAATAGGTTTTACTTATTAGTCCACCTCTTATTATTATTATTGATTCATTTAAAACTATCTTTTATCAGTAGCCTTATCTTAACTCACTTCAACACTATTATTTTAATTGTTATTATAACTGTTACTATTGATATTACTCTGTTTGCAATTCTTGTTATATTCTCTAATGACTAATTGTTTATCTAAGTGATGTAATTGAAGCGTAATGCAATTTATCTTAATTTTGATCTCTCATATTCTCTCTCCTCTTATCTATTTGAACATGACCTGGAAAACATTCTCACCTGTCTTTCTGCATGACAAATTCAATGTAGTTTGTTTACTTATCAGTCTTATATCTCCCAATGTAATTAATTTCAAAAGTAAATATATCCGTGTATGTCGAGTATTCAGCTGAGGAGGAGTTCTACCCAAATTCGATGAATTCATTAAATCCCGCTTTATTAACCTTTATTGCTTGTTTTAAATACAATACGAGTGACAGAAGCTCTGTGCAAATGGTGATTTGAAGATAAAGTGTAGATAAGTTCGCTATATGGAGATACCAATTCCCTGGTCTTCTACTGTAACATAATTAGTTCCTCTTATGGATTTCGACAAAACAACAGGAGGATGTAAATTAGGTTGAATGAGTAATATGTTTGCGCGAAACATTTCGGACAGGCTTGTGGTGATATGCCTATTTATCTTACACATTCGTATAAAGGCAACAGACAGTTATGATTGTGACCCGTGAACATTTTGACCTGTATAAATAAACCTTGTGATTTCAGTATTTCATCTTGAGCTAACATCGCTTCCTACCCAAATAACTGCTTATAATCATACCCATTCAGCCACACCGACTCACAATCTGTCATATAGTAGGTCGGGTGTGAGGACAAATACTCGTCAGCGACGATATTTGCTAGTGCCAGTCGTGCTAGATTGTGCGTGAATTGAAAGAAGCTGGAATTCATGCAGTGGCCATTAGATCGGTCAGCTCTCAGTGGGTTAATGGTCTACGAGCTCACTAGCCTTGTAACCGGAAGGTCCTGGGTTCGAACCCTCTGGGTGGATGCGTACTGTTGAATAGTCTCGAAGTAGACTGACAAGACAGCTGTCTGGTGGTACTCCCCCCGTGGGGTTTCCAATGGTTCTCTAACCGATATCATCTTAAGATGAAATCCTGTAACCAGTCAAACCAATTCTCCGCAAACCAGTACTTGAAAAGTCGTAATGTTTTATATAGTTATCTTTTCTGTATAAATATCTATGATAAATGCTTGTCTCCAAAATGTGTTGCGTAAATACACAATTACACCTTTCAGACAAATTACAACTTCTTATTATTGTTTTATCAATATTTGATATGTATTGATTTGAAGGACAAATATTTCGTTACCACCTGTTCATTCTCTTTATTTATCCCTATTACCTTTTTTTTTTACAGATAACACCCTAACCCACCCCCGTGATATGCATGTATGATTGTCTTAGTGCATACGTGATGGATGCACCTTATCCCAAAACTAATTATCCTGACATTATACAATGCCTGTATATTTATTTAGCTATATACCTGTGATTTGAAGATCTAATTTATCTCTATTGATTGGTTTCAATTAAAGTTATGGCATGGTATTAGGTGAGTTAAATTGTTGCCTCGATGGATCAGCGGGATCTCCCTCAAGTTCGATATAGATATATATAAACATTTCTGTGGTTTAATAAGAACTTTTTCTTATCAATTTTTCATATGATATGAATATATATGTAATAATTTAGACCCTTACTATTCATTTAACTGGTGTATATTTTCTGCTGACACCCCGTGTTGTTATAACACGAAGTGATTTGACTTCTCTATTAGTAATCAGCCGGATGGAACTGTAACTCAGTGAATGTGGATGTTCCAGCTTGAACTCAAACTAGACTTGCACTGTTTCAGATGTCAAGGCGTTGTCAAATAGACTGGTAAGCCAAAAGTGCCACCTATTGTGTAAGGGGTAACACTTGTTATTTTTCGGAACTGTTTTAAATTGGTTGGAGAATTTCAGCATGAGCCGACATCAGTTAGAGAACCTGAGAGTACTGGACAGCTGTTTCATCCCAGTTTGAGACTCTTCATCAGTACGCACTCATCGACAGATTTTGAACCCGGGATTTTTCGGTTACAAGGCTGGAGAGTTTGCAGACCATTAAGACCCTGGGACCCGATTCAATGGCCAGTTCATGAATTCTAACCTCTGTCAATTCATGACATAAGGCGATGGCTTCGCAATGTCTTCTTCGATGAGTTACTGTCTCAACTTCAACTTGCTGTACCCTACTGGCCACAACTTTCCACTAGAACCGCAGGTG